ATATATACACAATGGTGATGACGACAATAATGATGAGTATTTTTTTTTTATAACTGTAAACATTGTCAAATGACATATTCTTCTATTTTTCAATGTTGTTTCACACATACATGGTTCTAAAGATGCAGATACCGTTTGATAGGCCTACCTAATACTTATTATCTAAGCTACGCTGCTCCTGTTTATATTCTTAGCCAGAAGTTAACCACTGGCGTGCTACCGTATACAGATTTATTAAATTAACTAAATACAATAAGACATGTAAATGGTAGGCCTATCAAGGAAATTATCGAAATGTATAAACGTGTATAAAATAATAAAGATGAACACAAAATGGTAGCGAGCAAGCTAAAATAGCGTGATACTGATTGGTTAAAACTTGCGATAGGTCAAATCAATGTTTGCGCATTGGACCATGAATATTTGTGACAGGGGTCTTTTCCATCAAGTTGCTTCAACTGTAAAACGCAGGATATTATATCACACCGTCTTTCGTATGAGGTGTAAGCCGTTGGCCCCGTGTACAGCATGCCCATGTGTACGTTGAAAAACGCATGAAAAGAAACATTGTCGTATGGTTCTTTGAAAAATTAATAACAATAATGCATAGAAGACACACACATCGAAATAACAATAATGCAGTTAAGTGCGAGGGAAGATGTAACCGTTTTTGCTTGTATTTTCCTTTTCCTTCTTTGTGTTTTTTTTTCCATTTAAATTATTTTGATTTTCTTTTATTTTTATATTTCTTTCTTTACATTTTGTCATTATCTTTTCTTTTCAATATCCGCCCTTTAGTAGCATTATTTTACAGGGAAAACTTTTCGGGTTCAATTACCGGACGCGGCCGCCATTTTTTAAATATTGTACTGTATTATGCAAGAATATAGAAATTCTTAAGCCTTATGATCTACTCTCCATTCCATTATAGTAAATTAATTAGCATCACTTAACGACGATTTACAGTCCTCTATTTGATTAGGTAAAAGGTAAAAAAAAGACTTGTGTGATTTTCGGATACCGTTTCGCAAAGGGAACTATAAGTACCGTACCTGAATTTTTACTATAGAGTCTGCGGGTTAGGTCCTCATCAATAATGTGGAGTAGGCCTAATTTACATATTTAGAAAGTTATAACTAAAACATTTTCATGTTTATTAATGGAATGTTAGAAATCATGATTATTACTGTGTGTAAAAAAAATCATCTGCGTTTGCATACTCTATCACAGTTCATAAAAAGCAACCGAAATCAGGGTCATCAAATCTAATTCTAAATCATTTTTATTTGGAAAACATAGGAATACCTAAAAAAAGATTTAAGCAAACCGTTAAACAAAAATTAGTACACGTTTGGGGATAGGAAAATAACATTGCGAGTTGCAGTGATGACGTCACGATTGACTTATAATATATATTATTAATTATTATATATATATATATTATAATTATATATATAATTAATAATATATAATATATAATATAATATAATATATATAAAAATATATATAATATAGCAAAGTGACCATGGTCACATGTAAAAATTAACACACCTTAATTTCGGTAACAACGGAATTCATTTACAAACCAGTTGATTGAAAAATTATCGTAAAAAAAAGAAATTAATGAAGCACACCAGACGAATATGCCCACTTTCAATTACTTATTTTGATATTATACTAAGCTCAAATTACAATGAATATGAGTATATATGAATATATATATATATAGGCCTATATATATATAACTCAAAACCGTCTTGCGGTAATGCTATAAATAGTATATATAATTTTGAACGTTAAAGTAGAGGAATCTGTGAGTGCGAAAAAAAGTTTCCCCTCGGATTCGAACCCAGGACATATATTATAAGCTAAACGTGTTTAGACAGAGCTAAACATGCTTAGGATTGACGTGTTTAGGTTTAACTTCAATGTGCCTAGGCATTTGATATCATATCAAATACCCAAGAACATTAATTATACATATAAAATGTATAATTATAGAAGTTTACTGGTAGGATTTAAGTAAACTAATTTAGTTAGTACTCGGAAAATTCTGGTAAACTATGGTTCTCAACAAAAGAATTAATACATAATTACAGACCTTCCTCCAATTAAAGACCGCGTTTAGGATCTTTAACAGCTTTGATCTCCAATTAGAATTATAAAGACATTTGTGAATTTGGGACCACAGAAAATTTGTCTTTAATTGTAGGTGGTTTTTAGATGAAAGAGGACTGTAATTAGAGGGAGATCCGTATAATTTAATAAATTACTTTCGACAACACTGTAATATCTCTCCTACATAGCTCTATAGTTTTTCATAAGTGTTGTTCTTATTTATATTATATTTTATTAATTGAATATATGAAAAGAAAATGGTGGTTCGATGACTAACGAATGTATGAATGAATAAAAAGCTACATTATAATATAATATACATTTTGGTATACATATCGCCCGTTCATTCCTATCTGAAATGTTCTGCATGCATTAATCAGGTACCTGTTATGCGATACCTAAAGTGTATATCATGAATATTTTAACGTGACCCCAGCCTAAAGCTAAGATACGAGTAGTTTAAGGGCTACATCGATCCGAGTCGCAGCGAGTACTGTAATCACAGAGCTAAAGAAAATAACAAAACATTTCTTTATACCGACACCCTAAGGGAGGACTTCAGTCAAATTCTGTCAAATCATGTACACGGATAAGGGTAATCGACACAAATTTGTTGTATTAGACGCAAACGATATTTTCCCTTTGTTCATCAGAAAAGACAAAATTCTTATTAATTAAGAGATGGGATTAAAATGAAATCCCATATGATCACATTTGGCGCTCGTCTTGCGTGTACACGACATTCAATTCCTCGTCGTATTTATATGCAACATGATCGTACTGCACAAAATAAAAGTACTCTGTTTCTTTGGCGTTTTACTGGCTGCTGGGTTAACGCTAATATATTTCATCGAAAACTAGCAAATATTGTTGACAGTTTTCTGTTTAAGTTATGAGATCAAAATTTTTCGAGACTAAAATAATTAAATTTTGCAAAAAAAAAAAAAAAAATCGTCATCAGACATTACGAAGCCCTACTCAGGCGAATTAAAAAGTTTGAAAAAGTTATACTCATTTTTAAAATGCCTGACGGAAATTTTCTGAAACAGGTGTTTTGTTATGCAACATCAGAAGCGTGGACTATAATACACCGTACACTTGCCTTCATTCTCAATGTTACTTTTAATATGAATTGAACTACAATAAGGCCGCTAAATAGGCCTATAGTATGTATGTGTTTTATTTTGACTTGTTAGTCTTGTTACGTTGTCATTATGCAATTATTTTTTTATTATTTGATTATTATTTATTACCATCAGATGCCTTAAGTTACAATCTTAAATTGTGCAGTTACAAAACATTGGAGGATCCGGGTATGAGTAAGGGAGGGGGACTCAAAATTATTTCTGCTATTAAAAATATGCCTACTGTACATATCATCTATTAAAAAAAGAAAACAAACATGTCAAAATGTGTTTGATAGATTTGGCAATAGCAATTATTAATATGTATGCATATATATGTCTAATTACAAATAATTTCAATTATGCAACCCTTTGATAAAAACTAAAATATTTCAGATAAAAACTTACGTTTACATTAAGAAATCACAATAATTCAATAGAAAACAAAATTGCTTTTCCAATTTTCGAGTTATTACTAAACGCTGTAGCCGAGAAACAATGGAACGCTCTGTGAAAATCATTAACATCTCTAATTGAAACAAATTAGTTTGATTACCACCTAATGAGTTTGGTGATTTATGTTAATGACCTTGATAAATAATTCCTAATAAACGACATTTACAAGTTATATTTTTTACTGTATCAAGGTTAATATAAACAATTCCCCATGCTTGTCTACTCTATCCCCTCCCCCTCCCCCTCTCCCGCCTTGTGCCTAAGTTATTTTCTATTGTTTTGGTAATGGTCGCCCCGGGAAAAACAGAAATTGTCCCAGTATGCATTAGATTAATGAAAATCTTAGCAAGACGCAATTAATCCAAATTGTCCGTTTATATATTGTCTGCGAAAACCTTTTTAGCAAAAACAACTGGCGGTATTAGTAATATGGTGGTGTTGGTGGTGGCGGTGGTAGTAATAGTTATAGTGGTGGTGGGGTGGTTGCAGTAGTAGTATGTAGTGTACCAACAACAGCAGTATTAGTTAATAGTAGTCGTAGTAGTAATAAAGTTAATGATGATTGTACTTTCAAATATAGTTTGACGAATCCCTTTCTGTATAAATAAAAAGTTTGTTAGAATATTGATATAACTTACTGTTTAACAAACTGTCTTATGAAATCGGTGACAATGTTAATTAATCAATTGTATTATTACCACTTAAAAACCGAAGACCAATGACTGTGTGTTGCTACACACTGTACGAGAAGTCGCTCACTTATCATGCAAATCTTAGTTCTTAACGTAGTTGATTGGTCCACGGCTGCCACGTGCAGACTTTCACGGTTAATTCGGTCCAATAATCTAAAACTCTCTGAACATCAATGCCCAGCAACATCTTCCTGAGCATCGCTGTAGAAATATATTAGAGGAGGAATTCGTAAAACGGAAGATTTAATCTGCCCTGATCTATCTAATCATTTTCAAGCACAAGTCATAAACGTATCTCTTGGAGAGGGTACTGAAAAAAAAATTGAACCATGTCGTGCGCGTTGATCGGTGATTGCAGTGACGGTGGTGGAGGAGGTAGCGGGGCTGCATCTACTGTAGATGTTATGAACAGTCAGCCTTCAGATCAATCAATCATGTCTACTAGTAGGTATGTTAATAACGATTGTGTTGCGACCACTCTCGCTTCTCACTCCACACCATCTCCGACGACGGGCTACACGCCCGTAGTGGACCCAACTTCTTTCTCATGCTCCCTCGGGTATGCCGGCCTGCCTAGGACCTGCTCAAAAGTAGCTGAACTCACGCCGGATGAGCGTAACAAGCCGATTGCGACCGTGAAGCTACCGGAATATCCATGGACGAAAGAAACCCTAGGGCCAATACAAACGCAAGCCAACCAAACTAACAACGGGAGCAAAGGTAGGCTATTCACATCTTGACAACTTGACGAATGGCTAATTAATGAAATTGTTTGAAAATCGAAAACGCTTATAAGATCAGATAGATGGATTTTATAGCTGTTCCGAAATAATGAATATTTGTATGTGTGTATAGCAAGAATGGGCTTCACAAATAATTATTAACAAATTGTGCTTAAAACTGAAAAACAATAACTGAAAATAGCAGATAAATTGTTCATAAATTTTGTTTGTCAAAAAAAAATTCACTTTTTACCATATCTAAATGTAAACACCAACTATATAATTAATATTATGTTGTCACATGTGTACAGTATAAACGTGTGCGGTTTTAGACCAGTACCTAGTTTCCAAACAATAATAGTATCGTTTAAAACATGTACAGTGTATACCAACATTTTTTGCTATCTGGCATGCAGGAACCCGTATATTGAACATTTTAAAATATCCATATTTCATTTTAAGCCAGCTACCGTCACAAATATTGGCCTATAAAATTACTGACTGTGTTTATTTACAATACGGTAATGTTTGACATAATCATTTTTTGATGTGTTAATAGAATATTAACCAAGATAACTTTGAACTCGAATAGGTCTTTAGTTAAGTTGAATTTTGTATGGTTAGGTCATTACATGAATATCTTTTAGGCGAGTAATCGGTATTACTGCAGGCAATACGGTAGTTTTATCAGTACTATCCTTATAAACTTATAGGCGTATTCAATTTACAATGTTTTATGTGTCGTTATGAAAGCATCGGAGTTTTTAAATTTATTTATTAAATTTAAATATTATTTAGGGATTAAATAGATTATGTATTAAAATTATTAGGCCTAGCATTTTCATTATTATGAAATTATTATTATTATTATTATTGCAACTGAGAATACTTATTTTAAGAATTGTTATTATTACTTCAAGTTCTAAATCATTAAGCTTTTAACAATATCTATATTTATCTTTAGAAGAGTTGCCTTTCTAAGCAAAGTTACTATAAAAAATATAGACGTAGGCATAATACCTTTTAAAATATACAGCTCAGTTCTAGTTTCTTTGTCATTAAAATGTGGTGCCGGTAACGAATTATTTGAAAATGGTATCGATATAAGTGATTATGAATGTAATCAATCAATATCGATGATGATCAATTAATTTAGAATAATAATCAATCTCTATTAATATATTAATTTATAAATTATGGTGTCAAACAAATGTCTTAAACACAACGATTACGGAACCTCATTTGATTTTTCAGAAGGGAAAACCTATCCTGTATCACCTACTGGTTGATATGTATATAATTTACGTTACTGGTTTATTCTGGCCTAAACTAAATGAGACACTTATACAATATTGAAAGACTGGTCTAATAATGTCAAATAGAGCAAAAATAATTTAGGTAATGGCCAATGTGATCATATGGTAAAAACTCGACTGCTAATGCATTTGCGGAAAACACTTGAGTACTTTTCCTGTGTTCGTATGCACTATGTACTCGCGACGTATTCTGATGGTTGTCACCTATCTTTCTTCTTATACGACTTTCAACATACCATCCAGTCAATTTATTATCTGCTTTATATATTTCTTGTATGCTTCAGTATTTTTGTTTTGTTTCTATGTTACCTGCATGTGGTAGTCAATACCTGCGTACCTACACCGCGCTCATTCCACGCGTATCCTCCTCAATCAATTCGTTGTTTAAGTTCATTTATCTATATAAAAAGCAGATTTATCATGTGTTCATTTTAATAATATTAATAATCACATAATCATAATTGTAATGACAGTCATAAATAGGCCAATAATTATCTTTACAATTATATAATAATTAAGATAATTATAATAATAATTATTATTACAATTAGATAACTAGGATAATCATAATTACAGTGTATTAATTATAATTAATTTTATAACTTGAAGGTAAATATCTAAATTTCATGTAAAAAAAGTTTTAAAAAATCACATTTCAAGTCATCGTTACCTGTGATGTGCATAAACGTTCTTTGCTCTTCATGTTTTCACGTTACCTGCTATGTGATACCCTCACAGGCGTGGTGTCTAAGGCCAATCTGTCCTTTCAATTTTCATCTTTCTGCCCGGTGCTATACCAACACATGGGTAGGCCTAGTACACAATAATATTAATCTCAGACGTGCCTGTCACATTTAGACTTAGATTTGAGTAGAATTTTCTTATTTTTTTTCCTCAATTTGTGTTAAACTTTGAAAGATCTAGGACTTGCCTGTCAGGGCCCCGTTCGTCTTAAGGCCAACTCAGACAGCGTCGGCCGACGCAGCCCGACCCGATTTATCGTCGGGGACAGTCTTAAGCCGTCGTGAGAAATATTAAACACGTTTAATATTCTACTACGCGACTGCCCCCGACGCACACCATCGCGTCTGCGTTCAACTCACACAGACCCGACGCGACAAAAAATTGCGTCGGGCTGCGTCGGCCGACGCTGTCTGAGTTGGCCTTTACTTGTCGTATTCATATCTTGACGGTCTGTTTGTCTTACAGTTCCTGGTCTCCGGAAATGGCACACTTAGATTTAACTTTTTATAGAATTTTCTGGCTTTTTTTTTCTCATTTTTTGTTAAATTTTGAAAGATTTAGGACTTGCCTGTCAGGGCCCCATTCGTCTTACCTCTCGTATTCTTATCTTGTTCCTTGACCGTCTGTTTGTCTTGCAGTACCTAGTCTCAGGGCCGCCGAGAGCGGCCGCGGGCCCCGAGGTATCTTCGCTCTGGACGGCCGGAAATGGCACATTTAGACTTAAATTTAAGTAGAATCTTCTTTTTTATTTTTTTTTAAATTTTTGTTGAAAGATTTAAGAGGTGGGGGCCGGGCCTCCACTTAAACCCAGCACTGGTTTAATATATTAATTCAGTATTTATATGGCAATCGAATCTCTATCAGGTCTATTTATATTTTCTAACTTGTATGTATGTTGACGATGTCTAGGATTCAAGCCTTTTATAATTATAAATTAATAACTTAAAGAATTTACTATTTGATACATTGTAAACATAAACTCCAGAGTAGTAGAAGTCATGGAAATATTAATGAAAAAAGAACGTTCAGCTTTATTTACAATTCTCGTGGGAAAAAACACATAAATGATACTGGATAATTATATACGTTCAATCATTTTTATTTATTTATTTTATTTTATTATTTTTTAATCTAGTTATCGTAGGCCCGAGGCACTTTCCCCGGTTACCCCGGCCTCTCGGCGCCACTGCCTACTCTACTTCCATCTTTATTTCACTCACCTGACCAGTGACTTTTCTGTGGTCTTTCTATTTTAGATGTCCTGTATTGATATCAACTGACTTTTAGGCCCTACTATGCTTAATCGTCCTTTTTACCAATTCCAGTGTCACTAATATTGGTGCTGATATGCCATGGATAACACATAGGTAAAACAAACTGGAGAGTATGTCATCAACAACAGGAGACTTTATAAAATCACCAATATCAAATAGTAAATCCGAAGCGTTTATGACCATACCACCCTCCAGAATGACCTTAATAACATATTTCAATGGAGCCATTTTAATAGCATGACCCTTAACTGCAGCAAATGTAAAACCAGGTGTATCACTAGAAAGAAAAATGTCCATTCAAACTATACCACAAATTTTACCACTCTGTCCTTAGTTACCACGCACAAATACCTTGGAGTTACCATTTCATCCGACCTTAAATGGAACTCAATATAAGTTGCATTACTTCAAAAGCACTGCGCACACTTAATTTAATTAAACGCACTTGTGGCCAACATCCTCTTTCTCTTGTTCTTTTTAAATTTTTAGTTAGGCCATTATTGGAATCCTCCCCTTAAATTAAATATTGAAAATATTGAAACCGTTCAAAGAAGCTTCACTCGCTATTTTTTTTAAACTCCACGATTCCCCCACCAAACCGGATACATCCAATACACGGATCGCCTTACTCACCTTAACCTCTTATCTCTTACAGATAGAAGAAATTTCCTTTGCCTTATGTTCATTTACAAAATTATTCATGGCTATGTTAACTTTTCGGTTACCTCCTTCTTATCTTTTAATACGCGCAAACCACATTCCACACTCCATATATCTCCGGCACGCACTAATGCACTGCATTTTTCATTTTTTCACAATAACCCCTTGCTATGGAACAACCTCAATTTAGCCTGCGGACAATCGCCATCTATCTCCACATTCCGAAAAAAAATCTCTTAATGACATTTAGATATCAATAATTGCTAATGTTCACCCTTTATACCATTGTCATTTTTGTTATGATCACTATATTATGATTATTATATTTATTTCTGTGATCATTATTATGAATAATATTATTATTATAATTTTACTTATTTCTGTGATCATTATTATGAATATTATTATTATTATTATTATTATTGTTATTATATTATTATTATTGTTATTATTGTTATTGTTGTTGCTGTTATTATTATTATATTATTATTCTATGCTTTGGTAGTTGACACTTGTACAGGGAATATCTCCCTTTGTTAACTACCATCTCATGTGAGGAAATAAAATTATGAATTATGAATAACACAACCCCTCCCAAAATACTTTTTGAACAACTGCAAACAAACTGCGATTGCCTACTGTATCAGAAGAGCAAACAACGACGTATGCAAGATTCCCATATTTTCACACAACATAGCCAACTGAATCAATACTACAACAAGAGTAGTTAGACAATATCAGCAAAAATGATTTCGTCAACAAGTTTTTCTCTAGAAAACTTTTTAAAATATCTGGCAGAATGCTTTTCAAACAGATGTACTCTATGTTAGGTCAAGAGTTCTTGTTTTATTATATAATCTCACAGTTATAATGCAGATATAATTCCTAAATTAATTAAGAGTACGTTAAAAAATTGTAAAACCTATAGCAGTGCGTAGGGTATGTCAACTGAATTAAAACAGTTAGTGACAACCAGATGTCAATGGAAGGCAATTACCAAGTACCAATACGGAGCTATAATTATTGTATATTGTAATTATTATATATATTATAATTATTATTGCAGTTTTGAACAATAGTATTATCATACTTCCAGGACAGTTAAAGTAATATTAAGCCTATACCAAACTTAATTAAAACACATTTTCTCATGTCGTTTACAATGCTCAATTTCGCTTTTATCTTGCTTTTTTTTACTGTTGTTGATTGTGATGATATTAAATTGAATGACAGTTGCTATAGGCCAATAAGTATATTGTTTTCTATTTTATATAGTTGATACGGTATTCATTATTAAACCTTATTTGTTCATTGTTCTGAGTAATAATGTATGTGTGAGTAGACATCTGGTTAGATTATGAATGTTGACGAAGAAGTGCACAGCACATCCCAAAGAGATAACATCATTCGGAAAAACCAAGAAACTCTATCTCGTATCGGTTAGATCAAAGCAGACAGACGTGTTAATAGATTTTTTCCATTTGGTTCTATCTACAACATTTTCCATACCATATCCTTCGTTTCATGTAGACCTATATCCCCCTAATCACTGGTGTTATTCTTTTCCAAAAAATATAAATATGGTCAATGTTATAATAGGCTTATGTAATTATATAATTAATAATTTTTAATTATTATCCTTTACTAATTATATTTGCTAGTCTTCAAGAAGAATTTCTGTTATTTTATGATGGACAAATAAAGCAATTCAAGATTCAGTATTCAGTATTCAGTGTAACTCTAACCATGATAGGTTGCAATATTGAGTCAGCTAGCGACACAAGGTACGACACAAGGTACGACTGAAAATGGACTTTTCGTTGAAGAGCTAAAGTTGATTCCTATATTCGAGCCCTGGTTAAT